ACTTTATATGTACTGAAAAGAAAAGACTACATTCTTGTTGAGAACAGAGCAAATATTTCTTTGAAACCGAGTTCAACATTTTATGATAAAAATAATGAGCTACTATTCACATTAAAGCTTATCATATCAAAGCTGTGATCAATAACTTGGCAAAAATTGATAATTAAATGTTCATTTCATACCACTGAAGCACAAAATGGCAAATGTGATTATCTGCAATTATTTTAACTTTTCTGAAACATAAGAACTTTCTACACTTCAAAATTTAACTTTAACTTATTGTTTGTATATTTTAAAGCAAAGCCACTTTGGGCTATCTGCTTTGTATGCCACAATGAATCAATCCCAGGATTTTAACATTGTAAGTCCATAAAGTTACTGCTGCCCCACTTTTATGATACTTGCATTAAACAAAAATGATCAGTCAGCAAAATACATTGAAAATAAAATTCAACTATGCTGTAACAAACTCAAATTTCCCACAAGCTTTCTTATGAATTAAAATTGTAAGTGAAAGATACAAATGTAATATAAATAAATACTTTAAAATAAGGTAAAATATTAGTTTTTATTCTTGTATATGGTATCAAATTAATATATTGAGGGAAGTCTCAGCATTATATTACTTGCTTTTATTTAGTTTCTATGAATAAATAATTTTATTCATTACTGAACAATCTTTATTTTTCATTTAAGTAAAAGTGTTAAAATACTGCTCTAAAAATGTTCAATAACTTCAGAGCATTTTCCTCATAGCATATCATCTGGTAAAGATAAGCCTAAATGTATGTATAAAGTCTTAAAGTATTCTGTAAAAAAAATTAATTTCTCACGTGAAATTTGTTGGCATTCCAATTTCAGCCTTTGAGATTTTTTTACTACCATTTTTCTTCTTCTTCTTCTTTGGTTTTACAGGATACATATTCAAATCATTGTAGTTTTTTGGTGCTTGAAAAACAAAACTAAGTGGTAATCCAATATCATGAAAAACATAAGATTAAACTGGAAATAATCATACTTCTTATTTCATTCTAAACATTCAAATACAAAATCATTGTAAAACTATTCAAAGTAGGTTCACTGAAAAAAGAACAATACTGGTTTTCTCTATTCTTGATACTCTTAAACTTTTTTTTCATAAGATGTAAAAAATAACTTACATGGTAATGATGCATCCTAAATGACTAGATCAATTTATTTAGTTTTTGTAGGTGGGCAAGAATAATATGATGAGCTTTTCACTCTTAAATTAACCATGAATATAAAATATTACTGGCCATTTTCACTGCCCATGACAGTTATACTTTTTAACATCAATGATATTAATTACAGATCTCACTTTTGACTGTTAATGTAAATTTCCTGAATGAATGTTTATAGTTACAGAATACATATGAATTAAATACAACAACACTATAACACTGCTAAGATTTTTTTCACTTCATTCTTAGCCTGCCCTCTATGTACTAAGACAGTTGAGGATGAAATGTTAAATATTATTAGCACAATTTCTGCAATGTTTAATGTTAACATTTTCCTAATTTGAAAATGTATCTCTGATAGATACTCACCTTACCACACAGAAACAGTCTTTCTTGTGCATCTGCCTATGAGATTTACATGCCACTGGCTTTGAGCCCCCACCTAAATTCATGTGTTTAACATGAACTGAACTGGTGCATGACAAAGTCATCATGTGACAAAGACCTCCCACCAATAGGAGGGCAACACAACCTCCATGCATAGTAACTTCACCTGTGCACTTGCACTCATGATAACTTCATTCTTTGATGAGGCAAGAAAAAATATTGTGCACCAAAAGCGAGGAGAACAGATAGGAAAGTTTGAGAAAGTATCTATCAAAACTACATTTTCAGATCAGGAAAATGTTAACTTCTGAGATGATAACTTACCTTTTCACACAAAAATACTAGAATCCCATGCTGAAGTGGCAGAGGGGCCAATGCAAAATTTTTAAAATCTAGATGAGTTTCCTTCAGATCGCAAAACCCATGGAGTGTGACACCCACTGGTAGGGACTCCATAGGGGCACACACAAGGGATATTGCATCTCATCTCCACCAGGGTATACCCATTACCTGGAATGTAGGAGGGTAGGCAAATGAGCCCCAAGTGTCACACGAATGGGTGGAATGAGAACACGACCATCTGAGCACTTGCACACACATGGTCGGCAAGCCAATAGGTGTAATGTGATTGGGGCTCGATCAGACTGTACCATGTGTGCTCACCTCAACTCTAATGAACAGGATCTAGCTGCAGGAAGAGGGCACATTAGTTATATATTATGTTTTTGAGGGGTGACAGTTGTCAGCATATTGTGCTAAGCCCAATTGGTGAGGATTCTTTATGGTTCACCATCCCAGTTGCTAGGAAATTGTAAGTGGCAAGGTCCTTCCATGCTCCACTCAAAGAAAAGGGGAGGGGGTAGAATTCACATTGGTGAGACCCGGATCTCCATTAGACCACCAGCTAAAAAGGTCTTTGACTGGAGATAGTGCTATGGGTGACAACAAAACCCTATTTTTTTAAAGTCGGCAAGAGCAAGCCAAAGAGTTGGGCAGAACACTTCCCTAGTGCTGGCTTTTTCCATGATAGTCCATGGAATTAGTACAGTCTGGATTGGACAATTAAGTAAGTAAGTATTACCATGAAGATACCTCAAGTGGTCTTGCAGAACACCCCCATCTTGCAATGGGCACTGGTAGAGCCAGGGCAGATCGTCTGAGCACTTTCTGTTATCCTGGTTTGATGCATATTTTGGGGAATAAGCATACCCTTGGAGGCAACACCAGCCACCTGGCAGGATCCAATAAAGGTAGAAGGGAATCTAAAAAATAAATTGTACTTATCCATCTGAAAGACAGTGTGGAGTGTAGAGTAGCCACTGGAGGAAGTTGAAACACAGCAGGAGATGAAAAAGCCCAGACAAAAAAGATAAGAAATGAATGTGTGCAGATACATCCACATATGATGTGGTGAAAAGTGAAAAGCCGATAAGGAAGATGTTTATGTCAAAGAATACAAAACAGTCATTGGAGACAATATGGGGCTGAATGAGCATAGAGGTGATAAATAGAAGGGAGAGAGATCAGAAAAAAAGCAGCAGAAGTCTGAGGAAGAAGAATTTGGTCACAGCAGAGAGTACATAAGTACAGTAAAAGAGTATGGGAAGTATCAATGGCATAATAATCCTAAAGATGGCAACCACAAATGAGAAGGAAGCATGTTGTGAGAGAAAAATATTATAAAGAAAAAGAAGCCAATGGCTCAAACAGGGCACATGTGAGAGCGAGTAAAATCAAACAAAGGAACCAGTCAGGCATGGGAGTCAGACAAGGGGTTTCTTGAAGAAAGAAGGACAGGAACAATGTTAAGAGGATATGGAAGGAAAACATGTGGTGGTAATGGGAAGGGGCATAACATGATTGGCAAAGCTGCTTGACAACTATTACTATTCATGATAGAAACTGCCAATCCAAGAACAAACAAGAAATATTCTGTCAGGGTAGAGGAGTAAATAAGGATGGTGTAAAAGAGTATGGGAATTAGTGATGGCATAGACCTATAAAAGATGGTGACCATAGGTGAAAAGGATGGAGAAATAAGTCTTGTAAGAAAGTTGGTATAATGAACAAGAAGGCAATAGCATGAATGTGGCATCTGTGAGATAGCATAAAACCACATTAAGGTCTCTGTAAGGCATGGGAATTGTACGAGGAGGTTGGTGAAGAAGGAAGGACCAAAAGGGCATAGAGAAAATAGTGTAAAAATTGCATGGTGATAAGAGAAAAGGCATAAGTTGGATGACAAAGCCCCAATAATCAGTAATTGTGGAGACCAACAATCAATGTTTGAATAGCCAAGTGAAAAATACTGAAAGCTGGGCCAAAGTAGGATGACCCACAAGAAGGGAGTGGTGGACAAACCACTATAAGTTTGATCATGGTGATGTGGAATAATGCCCCATGGGAGCTCTCATGCACAAAGTCAGTTAGATACACGTCCCACTCTGACAGAAAAGCATCTATGAAAGGATGGAGATGGATGGGCGGTAAGGGGGAGCCCACCATGCTATTGGTACTGTTGAACCACAAATAAAAGTCACTTAGTGGAAGAGAAGAAAATACAGAATAGAGAACAACAGAACCCAACAAGGTTCCTGCAAACACCAGTGGAAGCAATACATATGGGTATGGTGCAAGGGAAAACAAAGTTTCCAAGGAAAATAACTTTGTGGGCAGATTGCAAATAATGCACAAACTGTAGTAACAAGACATTCTAATGTTCATAGGCAAAGAGGGAAAGGCCAAGCCTGATGGAGAAGGGAGTCAAAGAACATGCCCAGATGTAACAAGTGGAAGACAGGCATGAAAACAGACATGGAATCACAGTCCCGATCTGTGAAATGATACAGAGACAGATGGGCTCCTGTGGGCCAAACCTGCTAGGGTAGACTAGGAATGGAGAACAGGAAAGAAAATAAGGGCAGGGAACTGGGAAAAAAGGAGAACGTAGATTCAGAAGGCCTAGATGTAGGAACAGAAAGATAAGGAGAGAAAAACGAGAAACTATAGTATACATTGGGAACATATGTTTGGCTGCTCCAGGCTGTGTCTCTAGTAAGATATTAACATCCTTGAAGATTTATGAGCAAAGAAAAGGAGCCGAAAGAAGACTATGGGTTGAAATGTGAGGGAGGCATACATTAATTAGTGGAACATCCCTACCTAACAAGTCCCAATAGAGGTGTCAAGTAAGACGTGGTAGATCAGAAGATGTAGAATGGACCTCTCCAGAAATCCCTTGGAGCATGAAGTGCCTCAAACATAAGGTAAAATAACCACTGGTAAGGTAGGAGGGTAGTAAAGAAGAAACAAAGATGTGAAACTGGGCACTAGAAAGAGAAATAGAAGTGAAGGGGTTCACCTCCAAAGTGAATAAGAAAAAAAAAGGTTCCAAGAGTGGGAACTGTGTAATTGAAATGAAGAACAGCTGTAAGCCAGAATAAACGAGGATAGTAAGCAAGAAGGACAAAGGTATTTGGAAAACAAGTCTATGTGGACTATAAAACATGTAAAACAGGGAAGACAAAGTAGTCCTAGGTATGTATGGCATGTAGTAAATTAGGGGTAGAATAAGAAGACAGAGAGGAAAGAGAAAGAAAGGAACACACCTTTCAACCACATGAAGAAAGAGAATAAAATGGTGAGGAGTTTGTCCACAGATAGAGCTGTGCCTAGAGCAAACTCTTGCAAGAGGTAAAGCCAGTCAAACATCATAATCACATCCAAACAGGGAGAAGGGACATAGGCCTAATAAACGTGAGAAGAAGGCCCAGTGTGCAAGAAGGAATTAAACCACAATACATTGAACAATGGCTGTCATGTCCACCACAACCAATGAGCCCCCCTCCCATTATAGACAATGGCCCCATGTTAGGAAAATATTAACTATCCCGAACTGGAAGTCACCATCACTAGAGAAGTTATTATGGGTAAATATGATATATATATATATATATCATTAAAAATCGATTTCCATATCTTCAAGTAAAAAAAGCAACAAGTTAAACTTGTACAAAATTCAAGTGTCAAAAACAATTGCAAATCTCTTGTAATTGAACAATAAATTGAAAATGTCTGTTCTAGACAGTGCTGAGGAAAAAATGAAGTTATCATGAGTGCAAGTGCATTTGGGAGTTATTGTACATAGAGGTTGTGTCACCCTCCTATTGGTGGAGGGCTTTTGTCTCATAACCAGCACAGTTCACATTAAACACACATATTTAGGTGGGAGTTAGCTTGAGGCTACTGAGTTATCATCTCAGAGGTATTACTTTCTAGTTTGCAAGTTTACATGCTTTATTTATGTTTCTACCAAATGCCTTGCAGATTACATTTGATGTTGGGACCACAAAAAGAACAGAAAAAATCCCCTTTAATCAAAAGCTAATAAATAAATACTTAAAGTTTTAACCAAGTTCCTGATTCAAATTCCAAAAAGTAAGTTTTACTCATTATAGCACACTACTGTAATACTTCAAACACTTTTTATAATTTTGGTTTTACTTTATTACTATAAACCAGAAATAAAAACAGTTTAATTTTTTTATTAGCATTATTACCTTATTTTACAATGGTCATCATAGATATATTCTAATATATGTATTCCTCATGCTTTTATTGCATAATTGAAACTAAATTTTATAAGTAAATTTACATCAAAATTAATAAAAAAAACATATAAATAATGTACTAGCGATCCAATTTAATCTTTAATTAAAACAGGAAAAGATTTGAAATATTACAGTAAAATTATTAAAGAAAAACAAGAAATTCAATTTAGTAAATTGTAAAATGAAACTAGCTGGTAAGCTCAATAGATTCAAATTTTCTTATGACATGCAAGGATCAATCCAACTCTACATAATGGTTAACAAAGTCAATAATTTGCTTTTTTAGAAAATACTCACCCATAGGTGTGATTTTTAATTGTGTGGACTTGACTTCATAACTTTTTTCTGTTTGTTTCTTTTCTGTGAAGAACAGTAACTTCAAACATTATATAATGTTTCAATAACAGACTTTGAACTTATTGTAGCTTAAAATCATTAACTTGTAGCTATGTATCACAAAAATACTGAGTTTTTTGGTTTTTTTAAAACAAAGCTACATTGGACTTTCTGCTGGGTCCACTAAGGGGGACTGAACCCTGGATTTTAGCATTATAAGATTATAAGTCTGTAGACTTACTGCTGTTCCATCAAGAAACACAATACTGAGAAGAAGCATGTTTGCCTCAATTGCACCAAATCATGCTTAAGTATATAACATTTAAATATTTTTTTATTCTGTAATAATTAAACAGCAATATTTTGGTAATTCATTTATGTGTAAGCTTCTTCCTGAGTTCAAGTAGTAATAGATAATATCACATTAAATTAATTCAGTTATATAAAAGTAACCTTAAGACATTATAGAAAACTATTAAAATATAAAAAAAATCAAATGTTTCAAATCTGTTTTTCTTAATACACATTAATGACATGTGTTGGTGAGGATGAAATGTTGTCTTCTTGAGCCTCATACCCTGATAGCTCAGTTGAAAAACCAATGAAGATCCTTGGTTGCACTCTAGGTAACAACATAGTTGTCATTATAATTCATTACAGATCACTGGTTTTCTAGGTATGAGTTTTAGGTTCAAATCCCAGTTGGACAGACTGGTCTTTAGCTTGATTCGTTATCATCGGAATGAGACAGAAAATTTACTTTTCAGCAGTTTGTATTAAAAATCAGGATATTTATATTCAGTAAACATGAGTAACAATGGAAGATTACATAAGGAAACCTTCACATTTGCTGCTAAATTACAACAAAATTCAAGAAAACATTTATAAGGTATGTTGCAACAAAAACTTTCAGCAGATAGAAAAACTTAATAAAAAAATATTAAACAGTTCTTAAAAACCTGCATGTATATAATTCACCTTACAGTACATCAAAGGAAGAACATTTTTAAAAAACACTCATATAAAACCGTTTTGGAACAATGACCTCTGTTTTCCAAGAGCTGGATATAAGTACTGATGTTTATCAAAAATAGCAGAAAACATGTATTTTGCTTTTGTAAAAACTAATAATTTATAATAATAATAAACTGTCTATTAAAAATGCCACTGACTACCAACATCTTCATAATAATATCAGACATTTTTGTTTAAAATTATATCTTCTGTAGTTTTTTAACTAGCTCAACTGTATTTTAACTTATTCTAGTTGTAAAGTACAGCTTATCTTTGTATGCTCTTCCATAACATTTCATATCCAAACAATACTAATCAGTTTAATTTTTTCTCCTTTTTTTACATCTTATCTCTGACTTTATAATACAGTCACTGGAATAAAATGAAAGAGAAAGTGCCAATTGCTCAATTACAAAAACGAATTGGTTTTACGATTAGCATTACAATTCTCAGCTCTAATGTGATTCAATTACAAAAAAGCAAATAAAATATTTGTTTCAAATACATTTGTCAGCTATTCTGTGAATTTTGCATGAGCTTTTCTAAAAAAGTGGAGGAATGAACATAAAAATATACCAATTGTATTCTGTAAACGGGACTGAATTTTGTCATTAACAGCTTTCTGGAACAGATGTGCTTCTTTTTGGTCTGCAAAGTTTAAACCAGCTTGACAGTTCTGTAAAAAAGAGAATATTATCAACAGGCAAAAGAACTGGTATTGGCTTTTTACAAATCTAGCAACTGTCCCTGAATCAGAGTTTTTTTCAAACTTAATGAAAACCTATTTTATTACAAGAAGTTGACACTGACATATAGAAATTACATATTAAGAAACATTTAACTTAATACAAATCCATGTGAAGAACATGTGAGGTGTAGTTATGTAACGTACAGATCCAACAAATCACCTTTTTGCCTTAATTTTAATGAGCTGAGGAAGGTCAAAACTGTAGTCATGGACCCTAGTACTAAGGCCTTTAGTGTGAACTAATATATCTCACACATTGAAGTTGTAAAATCAAACAAGAATGAATGAAAACATGAATTTTTATAAAACAGTTGGCACAAAGGATCACATATAAAGTGTAATATACTTAAAATAAGACCCAAAACTCAAGCGCTTTCGATTAGTTGACTATTCTTCTTCAGAAGAACATGAATGATGGCTCTAGTTGAAGGTTTCAGATCTCTTACCATTACAAAATAGTACAAAAATTGGTGTTCACAAAAAACTATATCTTTGCTCCTGAAGAAAAAGGTCCATCTTTCAAAAGCGCTCAGGTTATAGAATTTTTATTCATTTATATCTTTGTTGTGATATTCTTCAAGCCTTCTGTTAATAGACCCAATGTACTGTTCTGCAGGAAATCTGTGTACCAGAAAATACCATATGGGTAAGACCATGGAAACAAGGGTTTTTCCCCAGCTAGTTTCTCATTTGCATCTGCTATTTTCACTTTTATATATTTTTTAATGTTCAAGATTTAACAAAAGATTTCATTTTTACAATTTGCCAGTAATTAGATAATATTTTCGACACTGATAATTTTCAATGCATTAAATCTGTTATTCTGTACCACTTGACCATAAATAAGTGTTGTGTTGTTTAGAATGTGATGAATGAATTCAGTAAATATTGTATCTAGTCTGATTATCCATTTAATCATAAAGCACTCTTCATGACTCAGATTATTCAATACTACCAGAAACATTATGTGAACTATAGAAGAACTGAATATTTAATAAATAATGTGCTTGAACAAATCTTATCCCACAGAGCTGAAATTGACCTTCTCTTTGGAATCATGTTGAATAGAATATAATCTCATTGTCAGTTATCATGTGAATGTGTTGTAATTGTCCTGCTTTTTGTTTACATGTTGCCAACTATTCTGAGAGTTATTTTTAATTCATCAGTTAAGTAAATATATTTTGAGTGACTCACCAGGGTGGGTTTTATTGCCTAAACAAATCTTATTGCCCACTATTTAATATATATATATATATATAATTATCGACAAGAAAAACATAAGAATGAGGAATGAAGTGAAAATTTGATTTTTAATGAAAATAGATTTAGCCATAATTTTTTTTATTCACCCAGACAAATGACTGAAAATGATGTGTCCTAGAGCAGTGGTCACAAACCACTAGTCCAAAGGAAGATTTAAACTGGTATGCAAGGCAGTTGAAAAAAGAAAGTGTTTTTTATAATACAGATACTGAAGTATATTGTTTTATGATGCAATTTAAAAGTCCTTTAAAAAGTTAAAATTGTACAAACATAGCAGCCAAACCTTTTCTAAACCTGGGTTGTGGGCAGCAGGGGTTAATCCTAAAAATTTCTTCACAAATGGAGAGTGAAAAAACTGCCTATGAGTCAATGTAAGTAATTTGTATCAGTGTTATATTCCACACTGGAAATACTAATTATCTGCACCTGGGTAGTCTAGTTTATGAGAAAATTGTAAATATTATTTTCCTGAGTAACTTATATATTTGTATAAAAGTTTCTCTTGATTGGCTTAAGATTAGTCTGATCACTAACCCTTAGTGTGCAAACTTAATATTATTTATTGCCCAAGACAATGTACATCTACTGATATTTCTTTCAAAGGATTTTCTAGGTTTATTATTTGATTCATTTGATTATTTCAATTTGAATAAAATTTCTTTATACAGACATAGCTTTAATTTCGAATACAAAAGTGATTTTTTAAACACAACGTATATTTCACTAAACATTAAGATAATTCATAGGTATTTATAGAAGACTGAAGTGTATGAAATTTGTTTCCTACGTTCAAGTACGTTTTGTAGAATTTAAACAGATTTTACGGAAAATGAAGGGTAATTCACTATTATTGACAAATGTTTTAGATCATCCGAGTTTATATTTTATACCACATAATCATATAGAGTAATCAACAATTAACTGTATAGAGTAATCAACAAAAAGCAGTCACAATAATATCATCTGTATGCATTCAATTCATAATATATGCATAATATAGGTTTGACAGTTTAATGGGTTATTTATTTGTGCTGCGACATTTAGTTACCAATGCTATATATATATATCTATATATAATCAGTTACAAATGTAATGCCTATAAATGGAATACATGGCAAGATGATTATCATGACTCATTTGTAAACACTTTACTATGCATTCAGCAATTAGCATATACATTGTGTACATACACGTATGAATCATGCAATGGAACAGAGTATTTAAGTGGCAACTTACTGACATGAATACACAAAATCATTTCAAGTGTAAATATAATTGTTCATGTACAGCTACACCTACATATCCTCATTTGTATCTGATTTCACACACACAAGTATAATTATTAACCACATTATATCACTCGAAGAAAGCTACTCATTGTCATTTTACTCTTGCTATTTGTTCACGATATGGTGAGTTCTTTCCTTCTATAGATCAATTTTTAAACTGGTATATGATTCTATATATGTAATATTACAATTCAATGCATTGCTAGACTCACCAAATTTTAAACAAGGTTTATGTTTCTCTTTATATTTTAAGTAAGTCAGCTATTTTGGAAGAGTGTAAACAATGGTTTTTGGTTTTTCTACTCCTAAATTTGCTTGTGCTCTGTCCATGTGTTTTTTCTATATTTATTACAATAGTAGTCAAAAACACTCCAAGACCACATTAGAAAACGTTATTGGCTAGACAAAATTAAGGAAAAATGCAATGACTTATAGGTACCATGTAAGATATTAAAATCACAATTAGTAATTGCCACTATGAATATTATAGAATTATATAGCAATTTACCAACTGTGCTAAAGAACTAGAGTTCAAATATATATACCTACTATAAGGCTTAGTCCTACCGAGACAAGTGTCGAACCTAATAATTATTTTTATAGCTTTATGCACATACCATTTCTTAAATTATCCACAATACAAAATGTTGCCATTATTTTTGTCTAATATTTTAGATAAATGGATCCTCCAAAGAAGCATGAAACTTCACAGGTTGTTTTTAACAGCATTTTTTAACCTGATAGCATCAGTAAAATTGGCATCATGTGCAGTATTAACATCCACTTCGGTAACGATGAGCCCACCAATATTGATGCCATGTGCAGCATCAACATAAACTTCAGTAACAATAAATCCACCAATGTTGATGTCATGTGCAGAAACAACATCAACTTCAATAATAATGGACCTATCAGTATCAACGTCACAACATGAAGAATCAACATCCATTTCAGTAACAATGAACCTGTCAGTGTCAACATCACAAAGTGCAGAATAAACATCCACGTCAGTAACAGTGAACCTGTTAGTATGAACATCACAATGTGCAGAATTTCCACAGTAGTAATAAAAACATTAGCAGCAAAAAAGCAAAAAGGCCAAACTTTCAGGAATGTTGGAAAACCTTTTTCCCATGGGTTTAATACAGGTGTGATATGAATGATATAATTTGCTGTGTATGTACGTGAGCTGTGCAAAGTAATCACTTACTTCCATCACATCCTTCCTCAGTTTTCACATCTCCATGGGTAATAGGATGGAATGATTTTAGAAAGGGCAAGGATGGTCTCCAAAAGCATGACAAACGTCATAGTCACAGAGAATGCATGACGACAAAAATCAATATTGAAACACAAGATGCAGTGGCAAAGTATGTTAGCAGCAAGGAAATTGAAAGATGGAAGGCAAATAGGAAGGCACTTGTGGTGATTTTTGATGCTATTATATATTTGGGAAAGCAGGGTTTGGCATATAGGGGCACTGAGGTTCATGAAGGTAACTTTATGGAATTGTTGAAGCTGGTATCAAAGTATAACCCCCCAGTTTAAAACATATTTTTCTTCAAATGTCCATAATAAATACTGCAGTTGGGTCTCACAGAATGAAATCATGGAACTCATAGCTCATAATGTACTCCATAATGTTGTGGAAGCTGTTAACAACAACTGTTTTTTTTTGGCATCATTTGTGATGAAATTTGTGACTCTGCATATCATGAGCAATTAAGCTTGTGTGTGAGATATGTTGATGATGATTTAAATGTATATGAGAAATTCTCTGTTTTCAGTAATGCGACAGTTGAAAACATTACAAATACAATCAAACAAGGACTTTTATCATATGGATTAGATATTAAACAACCTTGTGTGCAGAGTTGTAATTGATTCAGTACAATGAAAGGTTCAAAAAGGGGAGTAGCAACACAAATTTTAAATGAACATCCAAATTGCACATTCAACTACTGTTCTGGTCATGGACTGAACTTGATAGTCCACAATACTGTAAATTACCATTTGTATATGGTGGAATCACAGGAAGTTCCACAACAGGTGGTCACATTTATTAAATATTCCTTTCATAGAAAGGCATTATATGAAACCTTTAGAATGGATGATGCCCCTTCTGCCACTTTATGACCTCTGTGTTCAACATGCTGGGTTTTGCGAAGCAATGCTGTGATGTCATTTGTAGCTCAATATAGCAGTTTGTTGAATTGGCTAGAGGAATCCTGTAATGATACTGTGTTGCCATCAAATATGCATTTGCAATCATGGGTTTATCAATAGCATGCAGAAGTTCCGAGTGTTTCTGGTCTGAAGCTATTAGAAAAGCTGTTTACAATAACTCAGCCAGTACACATTCTAATACAGTCACCTAAAGTCTCAGTACAGTTTATCCACCCAAAATTGAGGGCATGGCTTCTCTTCTGCAAGATGCTAATGATACTGGCATTGTAATACAGTTTTTCAAATTTGTTTTAAAAACTTCTAATTCTATAGACATTGAAGAGCCTGCATTGCACAGAGGTGCATATGTTGCAGAAACTGTAGAAGTTGAATTTGAAAGTATATACAAATCGGTGTTTGCAGCTGCTTTTGAATCAATTTCTGTGAGATATCCTACAGATGATTTGCATAAACTAGCAGTGATCAAGAAATTTCTTTGCAAGCAATCTGCAACTGATATTGATGAAATGTCTGACATTTATCAAGATGACCTGGTGCTGTTAAAATGAAAAGACTTTGTGAAATATTAAATTGAACAATGGCACAGTGTCATCGCCAAGAACTATCTAGATTCATCAAAAATGTCCATACATGATTTTTGTGAAGCAATGCACAAAATTCCTGTGTTTAAAGATTGTTTTCTGCCCAAAGGAAGGTGAAAAGTTACTTGCACCATGTCACAGTCTCGCATGAATCATCTTACTTGTCACTCTATCCTGAAGAACAATTTGGATGAATTGGATTTGCCAAAAGTTATTAATGAATTTATTAGTCACAGTCCAGCTCATCTAAATATGTTTTCTTCTTCAATAAAAGATTAATATGTATAAAGTATTTGTTTAGTTGACTTCACAGTTGGGGCATCATGTCTAGCAGATTTTGGTGGGTATGACAAAGTGGTCCACAAAAATTTTAGGATCAGAACTAGCTGGTACTCAGTTAGAGGAAAGTTGGGAACCACTGATCTAGAGGAAGCTGGGTGATTATATTATATTATCCCTACTAATTAACCCAAATTATTTCCCCTAATTAATCCACATAAACTACAACATACAGGCTGTGTTATTAGAATGCAAAGAAAAATCAAGCTCTAAGTCTAACAAGTGTAACACAGTACTTACATCAGCTTCAAATGTATGAAAATAAGGTTGTGGTGCTTTGTAGGCAAACTCCAAGTAAAGTTCTTGTTGCCAAGCTCCTTTCTTTTTCTAAAGCAATAAATAAATTTAATTTCTTAATATGTTTATGAAATTTAAAAGAGATATAGCCAATAAACAGGCACATCAAAATGTTACAAGATTAACTTTAGCTTTTTCAGAGCAGAGTCACATTGGGCTATCTACTTTGTCCACTGTGGGAAATCGAATCTCTGAGTTTAGCATTGTAAGTTGGTAAACTTACTGCTGTCCCACTGGGAGATTAACTTTAGCTAGAAAATACTTGAACAATATAGAATTGTGCATATTCAAGCCAACATATAAGTTTATTTCTTTGTTAAAATTTATATATTTTAGTTAGTAATAGACTTATGGAATACTTTACATATGATGACATGTATTCTGTAAGTTAACTTTGTTTAAACTGTTGTTTGAAACATAAAAAGTCTTAAATGGCTGCAATTATTCATAATTAATTTTAATTGATTGGTTATTTTGATAACTAAAGGACTGTCCTAAACTAACTTTTATAAATGACAAGTTTCACTTACATCCATATCATATACTCTGATGAAATAGGATCTTCTAGTGCTATCCTTCACAAAACAAGCAACTCCACAACAGTGTTTTAACCACTGACAATGTTGAGGTGGTTCAGACAAAAAAACTTGGACAACAGCTGTTGCCAGAGACTGTTGAAAATTGTAAACAAATCATCTGCTTTTCACAAGCACTGAAACTGCTTATCAATATATAATCTACTGACCTCTACATAGAATTTAACAAGCAAAAGTCACATGCAATCACAGCTTTCATTATTACATCCCTATTTATGTCACATAAATCATACAATCATAAATACAGGTATATATATATATACCACACCTATAGGGCTACACATACCTTATCACACACTAAAGACTTTTTATCATACATAGGAATAGCATCAGATTTTTATGATGACATTCAAAACTGTTTATAAATGTTACAACTATAGTACATTTACTGCTAAATCTTCACTCTAGATCCACTATAAAATGCAAAACTTTTTACAGTATTGTATAGAAATAATATTTGCATACATCTTCTGAGTTATCAAACAAATCAAATAACCTAGTTTTTTCTAAAACCTTTAGTTAATATGCATTAATAGAAATGAAATAATAATTAATTTCACCAATTAGTGAAACATTTAAAGGCCTGGTGACAGACCTTGGCTATTCCCTCCCTACTAACAACTTACTGTACACAATCTGTATTTCAATCCAATTTCCCTCACACATAATTGTGTATTTTATATCATTAATTAAGTTAATGATAAGCGACTTTTGTAAAAAACAAAGAAAATTTTTTATCTATTAGATATATATATATTTTTAAATTATAGAAAAGACAATTTCAATACCACTTGAAGTTACATTATCCTACAGTACAATAATACCAAAGTATAGAAAAGATTATACATCTCTAGCCTAAGTTTGAAAAATGTATGTAACTAGTATTACTAATATACTATTACTATTAGCAAACTCATGCACAGAGCTAATACATCATTACATGGCAAGATTGTATTTCTATATATTTACAAACCACATACTCTACAACTTTTCCCAAGAAGAGTGAAGAGTAGTCTATTTTCATCTGGTGATAATAGCAAAGAAGGTTCATTTTTGTGTTGACAATTCTCTTTAGGTTGTGATATCATTTCACTCGTTTTCAGTTAAAGGTTGTTAATCAAATAATCAAAAAGCCCTTTAGTTTAGGCTTTACTAAGTACACTAAAGATGATGCAACGATTTGGCTAAACACTTTTAATAACGTTTCATGATGGAATAGTTTTCACTCCACATAATCGGGCATGCAATGGTTAAAATTTAGCAAAATTCACTCAGTTCTTGCGAAGTTAATTAGCTAATGTTTATAGTTAATCAATTATTTTAATGGTATTATTAAACTGACTATTGTTGCTAGACCCCTGTCTTATCTCTTTCACTTGATCCTCCCACTTTTTTATCTATTTAAAACTAAAGAAAACCTGGGTTATACAGTAGATATACTCTAAACGAAAGTAATTATCAAAGTTCTATGGGCAGTGTGGATCGATTTTTAACAAAAGAAATATGATCATTCCATCATAACTTATAAGTTATAGTTATACAATTACATGGATTGCCGTAAAGACAACCTTTCACTCGTGTGTTCAAATACGATTCAAAATTACTTGTCACAAAATTTCAACAAAACATGTAACGTTTAATCCTTAAAACAACGTTTAGGCACTAACTTGGAGATTCGACTAAATTTATATATATATATATATATATACATATATGCTGCGTCGAAGATGAGGAGGTAGGACCCCAACTAGTAACTATGCACAAGCTGTGTGATCTGAATATCCTGCTTCCTGGGGACTCATGCATACTAAGGCTGACACTGGATGCTTAAGTATTTGTAACAGATCTTTTGTATAATAAGTAACGCGAACACTTAAAACGGAAATCAATGCGAGCAAGTGGTTACATTATAAGTTAAACTAACAAGCTAAGTGGTAAGTATAATGGAGTATATTGTACAATCATTTGTAATATCTTCAAAATTCTGTGAGTTTCATCATTCATTTATTCTATGTCTTAATTATCGATTATCATAGAACAAAAAGTATTAAGATGCGTTCGTTTACTGGTCTGCAGTAACCTATAATATACCCATAGATAAAGTCAAAGTTAAACCCAGTTCACCAAATATATTTTCAATCCACAAGTGGTTAACAAATGGCAGACCTAGATGGTATAATATTCTCCACAAGAAATATTATGACTTTTTTCTCCAGTTTAAACGTGTTTTATTTATTTATTTTTTCATGTAATCTTAGGATAAATTATTTCACCCCCCACTTTTAAGTGTACTTACTGTAAACGGAACATACGAAACGGTGTCTAAACCAACTGCTCTCAAACTGTAGGGCCGCGGCGTCAGCCAATGGGTCACGAGAAGATTATTACAATTAGCCCTAATTTTGTTCTGGATTGAAATACTTTGAAAATTGCCCTATGATTGTATTGGTTACTGTATAGTTTCCCCGAAAGACGTCTGGAGGGGTCACTTGTTTTAACTATTCGCACCACTACAGTAGTGTGTTGTCAGTCAGTCGGTCAGTAGACACTAAAATGATGTCACATAAGGGACGCTTAATGTTGCAATTCTACTATCGTGTCGTCGGTAAAACGTGCACATGCCATGGATCACGAGAAGAATTATGCACTCTGTAGGCTATAACATAGCATGGCATATGAACTTCAAAAGCAAGAAACAAAAATATTTGTTACTCTTAAATTTGGTTTTATGTATTCGTGAAACAGAACTCTTTCGGGGACCCTGCAGAAGCAAATCCAGTTTTAGGGGCTATCTGGTCGATAGGAAAAGTTTGGGAAGCCTACATCATCTAGCCTTCTAGTAATACCGACCACATGCTAGTTTGGTTAGTATCCTTTAAGATAAGGAACATCATATTTCTCCTCGGCTAGTTTAGAGTAAATCGGAATGAATATACGAAAGCACCTCTAGCTATATTCTGCTCTAATGTGTAAGAATATAATAAATAATTTATAGTTATTGATAATGAGTTCTGTTTAAATTCTTTCGATGTCATAATTATAAAGGAAAAAAAAAAACCAAAGAGAAGAGTGAATACTGAAACTGAGTGTGACTCATAGGATTTCGTAAAAAAGAGGTAGCATATATAAATACTAATAACTATTAACTCACTCAGATATTTTCTTGGAATTATTGACATTTTACATAAGTAGTTTGTATTTACTTTAGAGGATTTATTTCTTATTTTAGATTTCCAGAGAACTCAAAATCTGGAAGTTATGTGTGTTATTTTTTATTTGTTTATTTAAAATATTTTTTCATCTTCTACTCTAAATTATATGGCATTTTATTTAAACTCTTACTACATTAATGACTGTTGTATTTCAGCAGCATTTATCACATTTTATTCCACTGTTTGCTTCAGGAATATTGTCATTCCTGACTAAATAATAGAATTACAAATTTAATGTATATATATTGTTACGTCTCCATTCGTTAGTTAATTTTTTCGTAAAAATTCTTATCGAAGAAACTTTACCGATACGAGTCCTTTCTTAAATAAAACTGGTTTATTCTTTCTGAATACAACTTTGCGATACACTTAATTTCAACAGTGGCGCTATAACAAACGCTACAATTCACAACGAACGTATCACGTGCCCAACAATATTCTCTCTCTGTCCGCAGTTCAATTACTCATTACCTTCTTTTGTTCCTTGGCCGGTCTTGTATATACAAGACTAGCCCAATCTAGTAGTCTCCCGACATTTCATGAAGGTTCGAGAAGGAAGTGACGTGATACAAGCGTCACGTGACCTTCGCTGTCGTAACAATATATTTATGCGTTAGTTGTATGTTTTACTAAATGTATAGACAACATTACCAGCACTTCTTAGAAAATGTTGACCGTTTTTTGTTTAATTCTCTCTGTCAGTATTGTTTATTTGGATCTACTGCTTTTTACTATATTTTGTACTTTTAAGGCTGTTTGTCGCATTCCCTAATTTTGAACTACTAACTGTCACTCTTATATCGCACTACAGCTTAAAGTACATGATATATTTTGTGGTATTACACGAAGTCGAACTCGGTTCGCCAGCTTCGAAATCCAAAAGTCTAATACATGGTCAACCCGCGCCCCTGTTTAGGTTGAAGTCGACTTGGACCACCAGAAACTATACTTGATATAAGTAGTACGCAACAGAAGCAATTGTATAATTCGAAATGCACAAAAATATAATTGGATTATAGACTGTAATATTCCTAAAATGTTTTACGCGCGAAATTTTCATTGTCATGATTATCAGCCTATAGAATTATTAACTCTAATAAGTAATAAGTTGCTATTTTTCTAATTATTAACAGAAATGGTTTTTAGCTACTGTTTTTAAGAAGTAATTAAATTTGATTTATCGTATAGGCTACTAACTGTGATAGTGGTTGATATGTAATCGCTGCAACCTTACCGTCAGTGCCTATATATATATAATAGATTGATTGTTTGGGATATTCGCTCAAGGTTACACAAGCGTTATCTGCGATAGCTGTCCCTATTTTTGAACTGATAAACTAGAGATTAGGCATTTCGTCAACAGTACCCATTGCCAACTACTGGGATACTCCAATCCAAAGAGTGAGATATGACTTCACTCTTATAACGCACTTACAGCCCCAAAGTGCAGTCTGCGAATTTGTGTTAACAGACACGAATCACAAGACCTCGTATGACACATACCTTTAAGAAACTCTGTTGTTTTTACCAAGCATCTCCACATACTTACGAACATTCGGCAGGACAGCAAAACATCGTACGAGATAAATAGTTTTTGCTATAACGGACGTAGTGCGTATATATGTATCTATGTACATACCGAAGTAATATTTACGATATAGCGCCATCTATTGAATAGCACCACAAACAAATATCCATAACATATTTCACACTTTCAGTATTAAAGATTTAGACAATTAGAAAAATAGCTACGGTATGTGCAACAACCATTTCTTTATCACAGAACACAATTTTAAGTACAAGTACTTTCCTCACAACAAGAACATGAATTTCACTAGGACTGTACGTGAAGGTTTGATTATATCTTTATTGATGTAATTTGTAAATATAGTACTAAAATGGAGTTATTATAAAAAACTGTTATTTTTTCAATAAAGAGTACCACTTTTAATATATAAAAACATCACAGTTTATACCAACACAATCCGAAAACATTTCCCGTGCAGAATTTCCTAGAAAAATACTTTATTTTAGAAAATGTTCACTTTTTGTACATTTTTTTTAAATAAGATTTGAATAGTACGATCAGTAATTAATAGCACAAACAACCGCTTCTGCTAGTAATAATAATACACACACATACACGCACACATGAGTCAGGTGTAAGAGTGGTCAGAGTGAAAATTTACTTCTGAAAGTTTTAGTGGTTTACGACTCAAAACTGAATAATCTGGCACAAATCACATCTACTGAAGTTTTAATCAAATTGATCTTCTTATTCAGAAAAAATGACTCCACACATTTCCAAAGGAATTTGCAATTGACCATATCGAGAGTGTGTGTTGTTGTTTATATTTATATATATATAAAGCATAGCCACATCGGACTACTTGCTGTGTCCATCGAAGGGAATCAAACCCCAGATTATTTAGTGTTGTAAATCCGTAGACTTACCGCTGTTCCACCGAGGGGCCCATATCGAGTCTAGGTGAAGGTACCTAATAAGGCCAAATTCATTTGCAAAATATATGAAATTAAAATTTTGCTGCCATTTTCTATCAATTCAAACATTTACTGAAATTTAATGTAGCACAATAAATTGTATTTATGTGTTAGAATAATTTGTGTTATCGCACGCTTTTAAACCTGGCTCGCCTTTCCTGAAATCCAGAGTTCCCGCCACATCAAAATAACGGTTTGTTTGTTTGGAATTAAGCACAAAGCTACACAATGGGCTATCTGTGCTCTGCCCACCACGGGTATTGAAACCCGGTTTCTAGCGTTGTATGTCCCCAGACATACCGCTGTGCCACTGGGGGGCGCCAAAATAACGGAATTCTGAAGCATTGTATTATGTTTTGCTACTTATTTCATGAAAGTAAACTTAACTATCAACTGCTTCCTTACTTTTAGAATTTATGGAAAAATGAGAGAACATGTCACAACTTTCAAGTTATTATAATTTGCTTAGGTTACCTGAAAATGTCTTCATTTAAATTAAAAAGAAGTCGTGTAAAAGTATCTTTTTTGTGAAAAAAAGACATAAAATGACGATATGTCTTTGCCACATTAAGTCATTATAGCTTACCTTTTTAAATGTTCTTAAATATAGCTGACTGTAGTTCTTTACCACACAAGTTATCTAACTTTTTCTTCATCAACTCTTTGGATAATATCAATTCTTGATGACATTTTTCGTCTCATTAATTCAATCAATACCGGTAATTGTCTGTCTAAAGTCTGTAACACAAATAATAACGAACTAATTATAACACAATATCATTATTGCATATTGATATTAACTAATTAAGTTTATAAAGAAACTCAATTAGTATCGCATTTCTTTTTGGAATATTAGATCTAAACTTTGAACGTTAAAGGAGATCTTATATATCAAGTCGTCAAGAAATTAATGTCGCGTTTTGGAACAC